TTCCTCTGGAGGTGATGGTGGTCGGCAGAGACATGATGGGAGGAGACCGCATCCAGAAACATTTACGGGTGGTGGTGAGTCAGTCTTGATGATGAAGACGTCATGGCAGGATAATCAGGGTAGGATGTTAATGGGAGCCAGTAAAGATGAAGTGTCTTTGTTTTACTGAAACAAAGTCAGCAGCTAAAACAGAAAACCTGATATTCTGGGTTCTAAAAATGTGTTTCTGTAATCGAATGTCACAATAATTTTATTTTTATGGTACTTCTATGTCAACATTTTCTTTTTAGACATTATGCCAGAAATACATAAAATGTTGAAAATAGAATATGTATAAGAAGGTAATTAAAAGATAACACAGAATTACTTGAATAAATATCTGCTTTTACAATAAGTTTTTTTGTCAACCCAAACAGGTGGATGGAGTTCAGAAGACTGAAGTATGGAGTGCAGTGTTGAACCCAGCTGCTGAAGGAGGTAAGGTAGCAGTAATGCTTGATTTCCTATTATCTCTTGGTAAATTAGGTCACATTGTGTCACCAATATGGGATTTCATGTTTACGTCCTTTCGTCTGCCCAGAATGAGCTGATTCAGCAGTATGCATGGTGGAGTTGTTGTTTTTTTGTGATCACATTTTTACTTTTTACATTTTACTTTCACACATTTAAACAAGGATTAGGCAGTTAAAATGTTCTCACAGTCCTCCAGGACCTATTCTGATGTGAACTACAAATGTCAGACTTAAATTGGGAAGGGTTTTGGGTTTGTGCAAAGTGTTGATTGGCCCAAAAGCATTCCAGAGTCTAGTAACGTAAGCAAAAGTACAAGAAATGAACAACTTTGACACGTCTTTATCATGTTGTGGATGCTGTGTTGTGGTTTTTTTTTTAATTTTTTTTTTTTATGGAGATATGTATGTAGTTGACACAGGCAGAAACAGGTTGTTTTTTAAATTTTGGGCAACAAAACACAAACTAAACTAGACTTTTTGATTTACGTTCTTACTGACAAAACAGATTTACCACTCACTGTACTGTGTTGATTGGCTGGTGGGCCTTCAGCACTCCCTTTATTCTGATTAGCTAATGTGCTGCATCAATTATGTTTGTGCTGTGTAAAAATGTAGGTTCTACCTTATAGAAAGACAAGGCCACTTTACCATAGGCTACTTGGGACATCTTATCCAGGTAGTTTCATTAGCTCTCTATTAACTCTCTTTCATTAGTCTCTATTAACCTGATCATGTGGAGCCACTTGCTAACTGGAAAAACCCACTCAATGCAATTCTGCAGACTGATAAGAGATTCACCCCACTTGATATGGTCTAGTAAGGTAAAGGTATGGAGTACCTTTGTAGCCCATATATTATTATTCAGTAGCTGCTAACCATACCTTACCTGGTGTGAGTTTGAAATTCAGTGAAAATAATGTCTAGGTTATTTTTGATCCAGTTTGCCCTTGTGAGTTTTTTTACAAGCTGTAATGTTCTTTCTGTGTGTTGCTGCCACAAAAAACAATAAATGCTTTTACGACAAGATAGACATCTGTAATGCTGAAACAAAGGTAATGCATATTTTTGAATGTTCCAGTTATGAGACAATTGCATTTTAATCACAGCTTTTCCATATTGGTGCACAGTTCAGTGTGATTACAGACACAGCAGGCTCTAAAAAATTAGACAGCAGTTTGGTGGTCACATCAGTAAAAACACTGTTTACTACTTTTCTGGACTTAATGGCTGTGTTTTCATCCTCTGCAGGAGTGCAGACGGTTCGTGTGGGCCAGATCGAACTAGAGTCAGTTGTGCCGAACTCAGTGCCAGAGACATTCATCAATGTCAGAGGTCAGTCACTGACAGAGCGGTTATAAGGATTAAAAATAAATCTAAGAGAATGGATTGATTCCTGATTCTTCCTCTCCACTCCAGGTAATGTGTTGGCAGACAGCATTGATAACTCCATCAGTGAGGACTCTTTGGCCTCTCTGATCCAGATGCCTGGCGGCTGCGTGGAGCAGAACCTGGCCAGCATTACTCTGCCGCTCATCGCCACCCTCTACCTGGACCGAACCAGCAGCTGGGACAGTGTAGGGGTGGAGCGCAAGGCTGAGGCTCTCCGGTACATCAGGAGAGGTTAGAGAGAAGGAATGAATGCATGGATAAATTAATGGATGAATGAAGGACATCCAAAAAAGTAGGATGAATGATGAATATATAGCTGGAAACATGGGTGGATGGATAATTTGATACATAGGTGGATAGATGAATAGATAATTTGATACATGAATGGATGAATAATATGATACATTGATGTTGGATAGATGCACCAATGGCTCAATGGCTATTAGGAGGCACTGATAAATACATGAATCAGTGGATGATGGATACAGCAATGGATGAATGGCTAGTTGGAAGGATGGATGGATAGTTGGCTAGATTTGTAGATTGATGGACGAATGAATAGACAGGTTATAAATAGCTAGTTGGATACATGGATGGATGGGTGAATGGCTGATGGATGAACTGCAGCCTTGGTGGACAGATGGATGGATAGATTATTTTGGAACAAGCATTGTTTTCATTATGAACAAGTTAAGACGTCTCTCTCCCTTCCACCCCATCTATAAATTATTACATGTTCTGTGTTTTCAGGCTATGAGAACCAGCTAGCCTACAGAAAGAGTGATGGCTCGTACCCCCCTACAGCAGAGAGGCGCAAGTACATGGTACTGTCCTATGCTGTATATACTGTATGTACGGATGGGTGTCAAATGAAAGGAAAAACCAACATGAAGTGTCTTAGTGTGGAGTCAGAACAGCTTTAGTGCTCCTTACCTGGTCTGTGGAACAACCTTATTTAATCAGACGTCACTAAATAGATCATGATGAAAGTTGATGATGATATAATTTGGTTTTATGGAGATGGTAGTGGAGAGCGCTGAGATCAGGTGACTGTAAAGAACGTAACATTTTATTTAATAATTTACATACTGACCAAACCATTTACATTTATCTGACGCTTTTATCCAAAGCGACTTACAATTGCTTTACATGTCAGAGGTCACACACCTCTGGGGCAACTAGGGGTTAAGTGTCTTGGTCAGGGACACAATGGTAGATGGGTCACAGTGGGGGACTGCATTTGATATGTTTCTCCTATCTTTTATTCAGGCTTTACCTTTTATTCATCCTGTCAATCTATATATATACTTTTTTTTTTTATTAAATCTCTAAAACCCAAGAAATACTAGTAAACAGATTATTTCAGTTTCAGTGGATTTGGGGATTTCAAGTTATGTGGATTTTCACACGACTTCTCTGTAAAACCTATTAATATATCTGATTTAATAAAAGATCATTTGAATACATGCCACATTCTGAAATAAAATCCTGCAGAAAAGTAATGAAAAGGTCAGTGACCCAGTCAGTGGTATAAGTTAAATAATGTGTGCTTTAAAGTGACCAAATGTTGGCTAATCACAGTCCACCTGAATGTCAGGATCACAGCATACGTGGTGAAAGTTTTCTCCATGGCTAACTCCATCGTTGGCGTCAACGAGCAGCAAGTGGTGACCCTCTGCTCTACCTGGCGAAGAACAAACAGCGTTTTAGGGGGAACTTCGTAGAGGACAACCCAGTTTACAGCACTACCATGACTGTGAGAGACACAAACACTCAAACATGTTTTTTTCCTCTTCCACTCTCCTCATCCTTCTATCAGTTCATTCATTAATAAATATCAAATAATATAAAAATCCTCCAATTAAATAAACAATAAAACACCCACTGTATGTACATACATATTGTATCAGCTGAGGACTCTGTGTTAATTGTATGCTAGTATTCTTTTTTCACTCTAAATCTTAAAACAGTAAAATAATAACACAGCGGTTCTTTTTTTGGTAATTTTTTTGATGGCGGTGGTGTCTTCTTTCTCTCGGGTAATTGACATCATGAAACAAGTTCAGTTCAGTTTCAGTTTGCTAGCAGACATCTTTTGAGCAAACTATATGTCCTCAATACAGGAAGAAATCAGTCCTAGAAGAGACAAGAGAGATGCTTTCCATTCTGGTCTGCTGAGGCGGTATTTTGAAGAAAATGTAAACAAAAGTTAAAATAAAATAGAACTGAAGAAGTCTCTCGGATGAGAGACGAAACGTCCCTGAGTATCTTCAACAAAGCCCAGTTCCCCTGATTTAAAACCTTCCTTAAATAACTATGACCTGGATGACTGAGAACCATCACAGACATCTAACAGAAAAATTTGGTTTGTGTCTCCAGGGTGGTCCGTGGCGATGACCCTGAGACAACCCTGACGGCCTTCGTCCTCATAGCGCTCGCTGAAGCCAAGCAGGCAGGAATCAGCTGCAACGATTTAAACACGAACTTAGAGGTAATTCATGCGAACATATTATCTGCAGAGTTGGTTGTGTCAAGCTGGATTTAATCTTTAGTTAACTTTCGTTTGTTGCCTGTAAAACACTTTTTTACATTGTTATTGTGATCGGTGGTTTATCAGTAGTATTGTTTACCATATCTGTCTGCTAGTTAGTTATCAGTAATACAGCTGGATACCTGAGTAGAGCGCTGGTGAAGACGGGGAGGAGACCGTACACTGTGGCTATCGCCTCCTATGCGCTGGCTCTGCTGGGGAATACTGGACTCTACAACCTGAAACAAATTTTACTGAGTGCTGCAGCTCGAGGTATCCTGTGTACCCCACCCTGTTTCATTTGTACAGTACACAGAATCTTAACTGCAAAGACACAATACTGTCCCTTTAATAACTGCTTCATTCTATTTATTTTATTTATTTATTGCCAATATCAGACCTCTAACCAAACTATTATCTTAAAACTGAAATATTTGCATTCCTACTATCTGTAATTGCACCTTTCTCTCTAGTCTAGCTCTTATTCAGAGTGAGCAGAGTAAATAAAACGGTAAAGGAAACATTTAACAAACATATAATTATTTTATA